GAATTCTTAAGTGAGGTCAAGGAGGAAAAGGTGAGTTTTTATTGAAATTACCTTGGGAAACAAGAATTGATTGATAAGTTTTGTACATACAAAATATTCTAAGTAAGTTCATCGATTTTCAAAAGTTTAAGACATGGATCTTACCTGAAAAGCTGTTGTTAGATCCGAACTGTATTCTGGGGTTGGCATTACGTACTGATCAACTCCACAACCATTTTGGTCAATCACAAGAATTCTATTACCTTGTCCATCTTCGACATAGCAGTTTTGTACCAAAATTCCAAAGTTTTCTGGAAGTATTGGTTTACAATGTCCTGCAAACTCATCCCAAGTTGTTCGAAATAGCCTTACCTCCAGGACATTTCCAGACATGGTAGACGGTCTCGCCAACGGTAGCATAGCGTACCTCCGGGCCACTTTCAGATCCTTTTCGAATGGTATAAGTGCACTTAGGAATCTTGTCCACGTCAAAAGTTGGCGCAAGCTCGGTCGGTAGCGCTTCGCTAAAAGAAGTCGTTTAGCCGTTTCGAATATCATATGGAAGAATAGTTTGGTTGTTTTGCAAACCTGATGTCCAGTGATGATTCCAGATCGTCAAGGACACGACTTTGTACATAAACACACTGGGCACAATAGCTTCTATCCGATTCGGTAACGAATAATGGATGTAACTGTACGGAGATACATACACGTTGAATGATCCCGGCTGGATTGTCCTGTAAAAGGACGGATTGTGGGGACTTTCCCAAAAAATAAGACCGAATAAGTTGTTGTAAGGTGATTCCTACTGTTCTCTCGGTGCTCATGCCGCATTTGCCGTGAGGTAGGGAGATTTTATTCATATTTCGAGATGAGCAATCTGGATCCTCAGCATAGTCGTCAGCATAAATGTGTGAAGGATTTGATGAAGTAGTGCGAATCTGAAGAAGGATAGAATAGGACCAAAATATAAGTGTTTTTATTTCGATTATTGTACTTACCATTTTTCAGTTATTACTCTCTAGGCAAACTAAAAAATTGGTCTTCTAATTTTTGTAAGGTATCGCTGATATAACTGCTTACTGCGCAATTGAATTAATTCATTTACTTCGGTCATCCATGCAGTGAAGATATGATGTTTCAAAACTATAACTAGTCTAAGAATGTTATGACTAATATAGGACGTAGTGATGGAATTTCCAAACAGAATCTTTGCTGGTACTTCTACTTGCTATTGAGAAATCAAAAAAATTGTGGTTTAAGGTTATGTCAACGGTAAAAATTAATTTGAGAGAAATTGAACGAGTTTTCATCCTGAAAGATAGTTCACTTTGCATCTCTAATACTTTAAATTACAAGCAGGAAATCAAGTATTTTAGTTTTGCTACAGAAATTGCTTATGATCGGAAAATTGCTAGGGATGACTATGGGCTCTATTCAATTTAATGTTAAAGTTAATTCCTTAAATCAT